ATGCTTTTTGTTCAATTTCGAAATGACTGGAATCAATTCGTCTTTCCCTTTCAATGCTCTGGGATTTTCTGCTTGATATAAATGACATTGGCTTCAATTTTAAATCAGCATCAAAGTTTCTATCAACAAGACGTCAACTGGTTTTTAGAAGGTTTATGTCCAGAAGCAATTGATTCTTCCTTCAATAAGAATGTAAGACTAGGCATATTTTTTTCCAAAATAAGTACCAATCAATTTTTTAGAGTTTTGAAAAGAATAAATTAAAAGTTTAAAAAACTGTACAAAATACTAAACATTTCCATTTATCACAAATCTGACAAAAACAAAGGATCTAAATGAGCAGAAGATAAAATAACTTTAGAAAAAGAAATTTTAATTTCTATTCTATTATACAGAAACTCATTCTTAAGCATAATTATACAGTGACTTTAACATTCATAGGAGATGTATTTTTTCCTATCTAAGAAGAAAAGCTTCTGGTTGATTATAGCTAAGGTTTCTCAAATATGCAGTTTCTTCCTTTCCAGAATTTTCTGCAAATTTCCTGGGTAAATTTTTTTTTCAAGTTCTTGGGAATAATTCATTCTTTCATTCATTCATAAATTAATAATTACTAAATCTCAAGTGAGATTCCATCAAAGTTTCTTTTCTAACACATGCCTTAATTGCATTATGCTACTTATATATATGATTTAAGAATATTACAAAGCTAGAACTATAAAAAGAGTTTAACCTTTGTTTGGTATTTAAGTATTAATGAATGTATCAAAATCTGTCAATCCTGAACATAACAGATCTTTAATCTTAATAAGCAATGTCACTGTTTTTGTATGCACTCACATGGTTATAATTTTTTTTATCTAAAACTCAACTTAAAGTAGGTGGTTGTGAGATATGCTTGTCGTAAAAAAAAACTACAACAAATTTCTATAGAAATACACTGTTTTGGCAAAAAAAAAAATCTAAAACGAACAATTGCTTTGAATCTCTATAACAGCAGCTACCAGTGATCAAAATTTTCACCAGAAGAAATGAAAAAAAAAAAAAAAAAAAAAAAAAAACTTATAAGCAGGTTTATTGATTAATTTTTGGAATATATGCAGCCCTCAACTTTCACATAAATGATCCTGAAAATGTGTTCAAACTTTCAATTCAGAAAGTTTTAAAACTAAAATCATACTACTTTCTCCTGGATGTTCCCACATCCAGATATTAATTATTATTATTATTATTAATGCTTAATACAGTCATTTGTTATTCTTTCCCAGTTTTGGTGTAGTTACTGTTATTGTAATAAGGTTAATTACTATTTTGTTCAAGTGCCTTTGTAATTAAAAAAACTCATTAGTGTCTTCATTGTTGACATCCATATTTATTTCATTCATTAGGCTCAAAATTTTATTTGCATTAGCTTATCACTCATAACTAGTGGGTATTGTTGTTTCCAGGAACCTTTTATTGTTGACTCTTTTATTTCAACCCATGAGTCTCTAATACTGCATTTCATATATTATGGGTCTTCCAAACATTCAATGCCAAACACAAGTTATCGGGATAGTCGTAGGTCAAAGTTTGTGTTTAGGCACCAGCTACGAGTTACTTCATAGAATGTTTTTGTTTTACTTACACTATGATCAAAATCATAGTATTTTCATGCTCTTTGAACTTCATGCTCTTTTTCATGCTTCTTTGGCTTTGGGGATTAGAAAAAAAACACAACAGTTTGGTACAATTCAAGAGATTTATTATAACTAATATAAGTATAATATAAGTAATTATAAAGTAAATAACATAGGAACTGTAACAATAATCAAGCAATTTATAATAATCTTTATTATAATAATTGTAAAAATAATCAAGCTTGGTTATAAGCAACTGCCAAGTATGAATATACTTGTAGTTGTCGCTGTCATAAAACATTTTATCACAAAAACCAACTACGATATAACTCATATAATTAATAAAGCAGTTAAAAAATTATCTCAGTTATATATATTTCCCATAAATACATGTTTTGTATTTCTATTTTACAATTAATTGATTGAAATTTGTTGGTGTGGTGGAACCATTTTTTTGAAAATGTTGCTCAGCAGCGAATGTGTTAATGTAGACCTCCCTTCTCTGTCAGTTTACTTTGACAGCCTGATTCATTACTGTCCTCATATAATATCATTTAAATGTAGCTATCACTGTTTGATCCATGGGCTGTATAAAGCAGTACATTGATTTCTAAGTATAAATTCAGCAGAGACTTTGGATATCCTGAAGCATTGTTCAAAATTAATAATCCATAAATCTGTAAACTTTTATCTTTATAATATTACTTAGTTGCTAGCATGAAATGAAATTAAACCAATCTTTAAATATGAATGCAGTAACCCATGCTTTGTTCAATTTCGAAATGACTGGAATCAATTCGTCTTTCCCTTTCAATGCTCTGGCATTTTCTGCTTGATATAAATGACATTGGCTTCAATTTTAAATCAGCATCAAAGTTTCTATCAACAAGACGTCAACTGGTTTTTAGAAGGTTTATGTCCAGAAGCAATTGATTCTTCCTTCAATAAGAATGTAAGACTAGGCATATTTTTTTCCAAAATAAGCCATCTGATCTACATTGAATTGAGAGGCTAAGAGAATATTCTCCGCCTACAGTAATTCTGGACAACAAAGAAGTAAATTCTTTTGCAGAATCTTTACCAGCATCAGATGATTCTCTAGTTAATTTAATATCATGTACAAAATACCCCATTTTAAATTTGTTGAACCACTCATTATTTGCTTGAAACATCCTATTAGAACCTCTTTTTTTAATCTAGTCTTCTCATCATCATGCAAACTAACAGCCTTAGCTTGAATAATTGAAAAACTCAGAGGGATATTGCTTTGATGTTGATCATGAATCCATGATGACATAGAATTTTCCATTTCATCCATCACAATGCCATGTTATTCTGGAAAAATTCTTTTAAGATATTTTCCACAATTTTGAACTTATTCCTTAATTTTATTCTTTATTTTCAAAACTAAACATATGGTAGACCTGTTCATGTCATACAAATGGTTGACTGAAGCAAAAGTTTCAGAATGTCTAATTACTTCCATCTTTGTCTTAGTTTCAGAATGTTTAATTATTTCCATCTTTTTCTCAATTGTATGAAATTTATGAATCCTTAACTCCTCCCTTGCATCAACACAGTTTCTCTATTTCTCACTTATGTTCATAAATTTATAAGGGCAGAATATTTAAATGTAAACAAATAAATTGGCAATGAACATGTGCCCTAATGCAACACTAAATTTGCTCAATACATTGCATATATTTTGTCCCCACCACCATGCCTCGAAATCCATAGACCTTATTAGAAAGAATCATGTCAGAACCCCAATGACATGACAAAAATTCTGAGAAGTCTGCTACTCTAGAAGACACTCTGTGAGTGAGTGTGAGCTACCAGACAGTCTTGAAGACAGTCTGTGAGTGAGTGTGAGCTACCAGACAGTCTTGAAGACAGTCTGTGAGTGAGTGTGAGCTACCAGACAGTCTTGAAGACAGTCTGTGAAGTGTGATCTCAGTGCATGTGATTGCATGGAAGTGAACAATTTTTATCCTGATGACAAAAATATTTTAAAAGTGAATTTTTAAAATTGTGCAAAATAGCAAACTGTGTGAAAGTGGAATGTACAAAAGTTGAGAATCACCTATAAAATACCTCATTAAAATAAAAAATATGTATGTGTGTCATAAATAATTCTTTTCAATTATAAGTCACCATTCTTATCCTTTCGTAAAAATGTGCCACAATGCATCAAGGTGATTGTATAAGTATTCTTTATTTTGTATTGCCTATCCTACAAAATAGCATATTGTAAAAGCATTTAATGCAAAGCCATAAACTAATTTACTTACAATTTCTTTTTGAGAATATGTTTTCCTCTTGCTAAACATTATTAATGCTTTTTTCCATTTTCCAGGATAGCAAACTTCACTATCCTCAGGTGTTTTAGGATGTATGAGCTGGTTAGTTTATGGATGTGTGAGCTGGGATCATCCTCTTCACTGCTCATTTCAATCATTTTATAAATAGATGGCTTCAGTATTAAATGCTGAATACTGCTCATTAACCACCAATAGCAAAAGGCATTTATTACTTTTTTGTTCAGGATTTTTTAAATATTGTCAAACTAAAGATTTTAGATCAAGCTGAGCTATTTTAGTAGGCACATTACAATTATGAGTGAAACCTAAGAGCTATAAATTAAGAAATTGCAATAAAAGGAAAAATGGGATGCAATTAATATTCAGCTACTACTGATATTAGAAATCAGTCTAACTCAAAAGAAAAAAATGCATTTTGCTTTAAAGAAACATTCTAAGGTTTTCTGATACCCCAATTTTAGAAAACATTATTTACATCACACTAAGTTATTCTGCATTAACAATATGCAGCATCAAATCATTAGCAAGTTAATCATCATAATAAAATCTGTGAAATTTAGCATCTGAATATCTTATTTACTTTTCAAGCTCATAATTCAAACACATCTTTATATGATGCCCTGTCAGTTGGACTGATAAATGAACTTTTTATGACCAATTTATAGGAAATTATTCCATGTCATAATTTTAAGCTAATTAATTTAAGTTAATATATTTACTCTCTAGAAATATTCATAGGAAGAAAAAAGTTGACAGTTTAACTTGAATCAAAATAGATGGAAGTGTTTATTTTTCTAGGAAAATAGTAACATATATTATTACATAAACATTATACATTAAAAACGAATTTGCTTCAATTGTGACTTTTTAAACAGTATACCAAATAATCCTGCTAAAATATTTTTACAATTAATCTCAAGTGTCTACTGCTTTCTTAATTAATCCACTGCTTCGCATCTGAATATATCTAAATTAAATATATAATGATGCTTGAACAACTGAATAAAAAGTGAGTATATAAAGTATAACTAAGCTAGAAGTATAAATATATATACTTTACCTGAAACTCGAGCCAAGACAGGAATTTTACTGTTTACAATAACAGGCCTTGTTTTTGTAAATTCTGGATAGGTTTTCTTCTCATTAGATGCTGATGAGTGTACCATCACACGTGAAACAGATGGAACTTTAATAATAAATGAACACAGTATTAGTTAAATTACAGAACTGCAACCAATTAGTAGAAAATATGCATAATTTTCTTGCACAGTTAGACACATCTAGTCAATGACCATTTTTATATACGTACATATGAGTACTACTAAATATTAACAACAGATAATTGTTTAAATTTAAAATTAATTATTTAAACTGGAGAATAGAGAGGAATACATATACAGGATCTGTAATTTTGGCATTATGATAATATTAGAATCAAATGTGACTATTAAAATCAGCTTTTGAAGATGAAAAACTTGACATTTGTTCTCTTTAACTGTAAAACTTATTAAACAACAAGTAACTGACATCTAGAAAATGTTTTAAAAATTTAACAGAAAGGCATGTAACTTTTTAGTTAGTTAATTTGGTACTTTTCTGTAAACTTTAAAACATAATTTCTTATCAACCTGATCAGTATGATGGTTAGCAGTGCTAGCTGAAATATTGTTGGGCCTCACTTTGAATCCTATGATAATATTTCTGCAGGAACACAGTATTTTATCATAAAATTGCTAAAGCGAACAATTATTTTTGGCTGTTCTTAAAATGATTGCCAAACAATTTTCACAAAAAGAAACATAAAAAAATCCGTTTGTAAGTAAGTTTACTGATTAATTTTCAAGATAAAAAAAAAAAAAAAAAAAAAAAAAAAAAAAAAAAACATATATTATACGTGTAATCATATGTATTTATGCAATATATATATTTTTGCAAAAATTCACTAAACTACATCAGCATGGTTGTACTGATATGTGTCATGTGGTTACCTAAAAGTGACGGACGCTTTGGCCAGTGATAAGCATGCTCTTCCTATTAGCCATGATGAATTCGTAAGCCTGATCAAGATTCTCTCAGAATAGAAAGATAAGTAACAACAATAAAAACACATATTTTTACCACTAGAAAAAGAAATTATAGTCAAATGTAATAGTCATCAGTATAACTTAATTTTTTCTTCTCGCATTTAACATATAACACAAGGTCTAAATTTTAATATTGGAAGTGCCCGAGTCCTATTAGAGAAGAGATAAATAAACAAACAAAAATAAATGAACAGAATAATAAATAATAAAATTAAGCAAAATATTAAGATACAAGTGCAAACTTATTTCATTTAAATTAAGGTAATGGGAAATGGGGAATTAAAAAATTAAAATATCACAAATTAAGTGAAGTCATAATAAAAAAAAGGTGATCAAATTAATAGCAACAAGATATGAAATGGTAGATAACAGAAAGGTAAGTATTATTTTGAATTTTATACAGTGTTATTTGTATAAGTATTATTTTGAACTGCATAGAAAAGTAATCATTACTCTGTGTTTAATAATATTCTTGATCACATTTGTACAACCCATATAATTCCTTTTCCTAAATTCTTTCAATTTGCTATATACAGTCAAAAGTCTTTAATCCGGACTCGTCAGGACTTCGGCGATTCCGGATTATCGGTTTTTTCGGATTATAGATCATCAGTTTAAATCTGGTAAGATGGCATGCAGAAATTATAAAATTAAAAATATAAAACCGTAATTTATGAAATAAAGAGCAACTATGATCTAAAGGGTATTAAATTTACAAAAAAAAAAAAAAAAAAAAAAAAAACCTTAATACTTATTTGTTTACTTTATTAAACATTTCTTTCAACGCGCGCATGCATAAAGCATACATTACGCATAGTCGAAACTAGAAAATTGCAATCAGAAAACTATTTGATGTGTATTCGTGATATTTATAATGATGAGGAATTTGATTTAAATCATATCAAAGACGGAGTACATCGAGATGAAATACTACATTTAGTAAGGAATTATAAGCCAAATAAAATAAAAACATCTGCCCTGAAGATAAGGATAGTGCTGACAGATTAACTTCCAGTTCATCGCGCGCCGCGTCGATGTGTCGCCCCGCAGAGCTGCGTGAAATTGATAAACATACAGTCAAAAGTCGTTAATTCGGACACCCATAATTTGGAATGATCTATAATCCGGACATCAAAACTAAAAACTTTCTGCGCATGCGCCGCGTTGACACATGCGCATAGGCGTTTACGCGTGCGCGTAAGACCTTTTACGACTGCGCATATCAGTGTGCGCAAGTGCAGAATACGTTTTCGCGTGCGCGTTTTATGTATAATGGACGTATAAGCTAAAATTATCTAATTATCTATTTCAGTTAATGTTGATGATTGCGTTGTTCCTTAATTTTCGAATTGGATCCGGCTTATTATTTTTTGCAGACTGTAAGAGCAATTTTATAAAAGTAAGCTTAAACTTTCGATTATATCAAATAGAATTTCCGATATATATTTGTTAATATGTAAAGGATCTAAAGCGAAAGTATGTTTTGAAATCCGAAATCTGTTTATCAATTTCACACTGCTTGGCGGGGGGAACGCCGCGCCGCGGCGGGCGCGTAATGAATTGATGTTGATTTGTCAGCACTATCCTTATCTTCAGCGCAGATGTTTTTATTTGGCTTATAATTCCTTACCAAATGTAGTATTTCATCTCGATATGCTCGATATGATTTAAAAGAAGTTCCTGGTCATTATAATTCGCTTCCGATAGCCAAAAAAAGTAACAGAGGTTATTGAAAACGAAAAAATTTCGATTGACAAATTAGTCGGTGTTCTTGACACAGCAATTATAGGACTTGAACAGCGGAACTTTGTAACTGAACAAGAAATTATGTCTGTTTAATAGAATTAAAGAGAAAGTAATTATCACATGAAACGAAGCAAAACTTACAACTTACATTAAAAGAAATGTTTAATAAAGTAAACAAATAAATATTAATAAGCTTTTTCTTTTTGCAAATTTTGATACCCTTTAGATCATAATTGCTCTTTATTTCATAAATTACGGTTTCATATTTTTAATTTTAGAATTTCTGCATGCCATCTTACGAGATTTAAACTGATGATCTATAATCCGGAAAAATCGATAATCCGGAATCGCCGAAGTCCCGACGAGTCCGGATTAACGACTTTTGACTGTATTTCGGAATGGTTAGAGAATCAAAGGATATGCCTTTATCCATTTTCTGCAGCAATTCCACTTTTTGTTTGATAGACATCGAAACATGATTTTGCTTTGTAGATCCTTTGGTAGCTCCAGAATCAGAAATTCTTTTTGACATAATCGAAAGTTCAAGCTTACTTTTATAAAATTGCTCTAACAGTCTGCAAAAAATAATAAGCCGGATCCAATTTGAAGATTAAGGAACAACACAATCTGCAACATTAACTGAAATAGATAATTAGATAATTTTAGCTTAGCTTATACTATCCGTTATACATTAAACGCGCACGCGTAAATGTATAATGCGCATGCGTAGACGCATATGTGCATGCGTAAAGGTATTATGTGCATGCGTTAACAAATTATGTGTTGATGCATGCGCAGAAAGTTGTAGCTTTAGGTCCAGATTATAGATCATTCCCGATTATGGACGTCCGGATTAAAGACTTTTGACTGTATATACTACAGAGCATTACCTAATCATTTTAACAGCAAGAATTTCAAAATACTGTGCTCTGCATTTGACAAAAAACAAAGGCATTATAAAAATTCTGACATCAAATGCCACCATAGCTAGTCCACACAAAACACCACAAAAAACTAGTCTCAGTTCAATCATTCAGAAATGAAACAATTTAGATACTCTATCGCCACAAGGAAATATGTGACAGAATGAAGCAGTGCTTAAATTGCACCGGAGCCCGGCTCCGGTACTTCTCAATTTTTAAGATAAATTACAATTTTAGCGGGAGCGCACCGGAGCCCTAAATAAGATGAGCTCCGGTACTTCTTTTTATAAAACTGAACCACAATTTAAACTGAAAAAATTTAGAATTCCTAATGTTTTAGTTTACTTAACTTTAGAATTCCTAATGTTTAGTTTTAGACCTTGCAATACTCTATTTCCCTAGAAATACGAACTCATGAGGACATGAGACGTTCAAGTAAAGTCCCCTCACTCACGTGCGAAAACCTTTCCCTTTAAGAAAAGCAATAAATTTGGGGGAGTTTGTTTAGGAACGCGTAAATTTCTCGCCATGCCATCGTATCTAGTGTATTGTTATTGATGCTTACACTTAGTTATCCTCGCAGAAAGGAAAATTTGTGTTGTTAAATGTGCGTTTAGTGACAGCGAGTACAATAAGAGTAAAATACTGAGATAAACTGCTGAAGCAAGTCCTATACATCGTCTTTCCAAAGTATCCGCTAATTGGGGGAAGCGTAGCCAGCAACCTTCCATTCATCCTTAGGAGTCAGATTCAGGACTCATTTTACCCCTTACACTCATCTGCTTGATGGCTATAATTATATCAGCAGAGAGCCGCGGTCAAAGAGAACGTTCTTTCTCTCCAAAATTCCCCTCATTTTTTTGTTTCCACCCACTTATAACCTCATTCTGTTTTGCCTTGGAATTTTCATCAGCTATAAGTATATTTAAGTTTTTAGGGATGATAAAATAACTTCCCCCCCCCCCTACGATCAGAGCTTAAATTGGGTTGGAGCCCACCGGGTCTCGGCTCCGGTGCTTCTTAGCTTCTGTAATAAATAATTCTAGCCGGAATGCACCAGAGCCCTAAATAAGAAGACTTCGGCACTTCTTTTATGTAATTCAATAACAATTTCAGTAGAAATTTGATCTCGAAAATTTTATTTTAACAATAAAATTATATTAAAAATCGCTTATTAAATTTCAATTTATCTTCTTTAACATTTTATTTAATTTTAATTATTTAGTTACTTTAATCTTTAATTATTTCAATGAATAATTAATTATCTAATAATTACCAATTAAATGATAATTAATTAATTATATAATAATTATTGATTAAATAACAATTTATAAACATTAATTGAATAGCTATCAATTAATTAATTTGATAATAATTAACTCTTTAATTTTAAAATTGTGAGTTTAATAGTCATTTTATTTATTTATTTATTCTTGTTCCTCTTTGCTGACAGTCTTCCATAGGGCTCCGGCACTTTTAATCTTAGAAATTAAGCCCTGGAATGAAGCAATAAACTGTTAATTCTATAGAAAATGCTGATACTGTTATTTTTACATATCATTATTTAAATACAGAATCTTTTTCTTTTTTTAAAATTCAAATGACATTTTGGATTTGAATAGCATGCTTATTAACAAAGATTAATTTTCTTTTACGAAAATTTATTTTATAAAAAATGCTTGCCAACAGGAATATTTTTAATTTTTTCTTAACATATCAAATAAGGAATATGCATTATAAACTGAGAAAATCCCGGAAGATTCAAATCTTTGTGTTACTGAACCAAAACCATGGCCATATTTGCAAGAAACTCATACAGATACATAGATTTAATATATACAAATTATATTTCTTTATTGATCCCACAACAAAAAAAAACATCAAGTGCACTGCATATTACTGACTTATTGCTAATTAAAAATTACAAGTACTACATAGTAACACTAAAATTTTTAAAAACTGAGAACCAAAAATTTTAGAATCAATTTCCTGCTACAAAAAATACAGTACAAAGTCCGAAACCCTGACTTGTCGGGACTTTGGCTATTCCGGATTTGGGATTTTTCTGGATATTAGATCATCATTTTAAATCTAGTAAGATGGCATATAGAAATTATAAAATTAAAAATATAAAATCGGGATTTATCATCTAAGGGTATCAAAATTTACAAAAAAAAAAAAAAAAAAAAAAGCTTAATATTTATTTGTTTACTTTATTAAACATTTCTTTCAATGTAAGTTGTTCAAGTTGCTTCGTTTTTTGTGCTAATACTTTCTCTTTAATTCAGTAGACAGACATAATCTCTTGTTCATTTACATTGCTGAAGTCCTGTAACTGCTGTTTGAAGAATTCTGACTAACATGTCAATCGAAATTTTCTCGTTTTCAGTAACTTCTCTGCCACATTATTATCGGAAGCAGTACAGTCAAAAGTCGTTAATCCGGACTCGTCGGGACTTCGGCGATTCCGGATTATCGATTTTTCCGGATTATAGATCATCAGTTTAAATCTGGTAAGATGGCATGCAAAAATTACAAAATTAAAAATATGAAACCGTAATTTATGAAATAAAGAACAATTATGATCTAAAGGGTATCAAAATTTACAAAAAGAAAAAGCTTAATATTTATTTGTTTACTTATTAAACATTTCTTCAATGTAAGTTGCTTCGTTTCATGTGATAATACTTTCTCTTTAATTCTATTAAACAGACATAATTTCTTGTTTAGTTACAAAGTTCCGCTGTTCAAATCCTATAATTGCTGTGTTGAGAATACCGACTAATTTGTCAATCGAAATGTTTTCGTTTTCAATAACCTCTGGGTCACTTTCTTCACTATCGGAAGCGAATTATAATGACGAGGAACTTGATTTAAATCATATCAAAAACGGAGTATACCGAGATGAAATACTACACTTAGTACGGAATTATAAACCAAATAAAATAAAAACATCTGCTCTGAAGATAAGGATAGTGCTGACAGATCAACTTCCAATCCGCAGCGTGAAATTGATAAACAGATTTCGGATTTCAAAACATACTTTCGCTTTGTAGATACAAATTACATATTAGTAAATATATATCGGAAATTCTATTTGACAAAATCTTTCTAATCTATCATAATCTAATAATGATGTTTCTGCCCCCTTCCCCCCTGCCCCCCCCCCTCTTCCGCAGAGCAGCGTGAAATTGATAAACAGATTTCGGATTTCAAAACATACTTTCGCTTTGTAGTAAATATATATCGGAAATTCTATTTGACACAATCGAAAGTTCAAGCTTACTTTTATAAAATTGCTCTAACAGTCTGCAAAAAATAATAAGCCGGATCCAATTCGAAGATTAAGGAACAACGCAATCTGCAACATTAACTGAATTAGATAACTTTAGCTTAGCTTATAACTCCGTTACACATTAAACGCGCATGCGCACAAACATATTCGCAGCTGTAAAGGTCTTATGCGCTCTCGTAAGCGCCTGTGCGCATGAGTGAACGCGATGCATGCGCAGAGAGTTTGTAGCTTTGAGATCCGGATTATAGATCATTCCGGATTATGGGGGTCCTAATTAACGACTTTTGACTGTATTTTCTACGTCTAGAACCATACTACAGATTTCGCCATTCATTAATTGATTGATGATTGAGAAGCATTGTCATCACAATGAAAAACTTCTTTTATATCATCTTCATTTATTACTGCTTTTCCACATTTCTTTACAAAATCCGTTAATTGGAAAATTTCACCTTTGTTTTGCGATATCCGAAAACCTTTAAAATTAGTGGCTATCATCATCAAATTTAACTATCCTTCACTATGCATATTTGGCTATGCAACATGAGCTTGGCGACTAACAACAAGTTGTTCCGTTAAATTTTATCTTGTTTCTATCGTGCAGTGTGCAAAAAATAATGAGACAATTATGCCTGAATTGCATTAGCTTATTATTTATTACACTTATGTCTATTTCTTGCACATGCTTAAGGCTTATCAGAGTTCTGAATAAACAAATTCCCACATATACTTATGCCTTATTAAAGGCCAGCGTTAGATAGCTTACTGCCTAATGCAGTCTCTGTGGGTCCTAAATTATGCAGCCATACGAGCCCTGGCACTGGTTTTGGGGTTTATGTGAATAACAAATCAGTTATTCTTAATTCAAATAGCCCTTAATGTAATATTTGGGTCTATAAGTATCCTCAACAAAATCTATTTTTAGCATATGGAAAGAAATTTTTGGTAAATTTTTCCTCCTCAACATTTTTTAGAGCATTTAACTTAAATCTGTAATCATTGCCAAATGTAACGTCAACATAAAAGGTTAGCATACTCCTTTATTATTCAATTACTAACATAAAAAAATTGCTTAGGCATCACTACACGAGTCATTACTCAAGTTGTCATGATTTTATAAACATGTGGTGATGAAAGGAAAGTGTAATAAATAATGATTTGCCAGGTTGGCATCAGATCAATGATGTATCTATGTGGATGAATGAATCAGTATGAATGTTTCAGTTTCAGATGTGTGCCAAACAAATAAGCAGCAACGAAGCCAAATTACTGATTGTACAAATTTATGCTAAAATAATTGTTTCTTCAATAACAAGGTATTTTATTTAGTGTTGAAGTGAGATTAAGAATTGGGACTCTCCAGTTGTTCTATTATACATGAATTGAATGCACGTGCATGAAGCCTACGAGAAAAACAATGGTTTGAGGTCCATATTTTGGATCATTCCAGATAATAGATGTCCAGATTTTGGACTTTGTACTGTACACATTTGTTTCTAATAGCAATCTAAAAAGTAACTTACATTTCTCACAATTTATAACCTGCTTAACTTTGTCTTCCTTAGTATCTTCACTGAATTTTCGTGATTGTTCATAGCATGTTCCATTTCCAATAACCTGAAGAAGAATTACACAAATTTCTAAAAAATTTTTCATAATATGGATGCATGAAATAATAAGCCTAGAATATTATTTTTAAGTCCATAATTTAAAAATATTGCTAATCTGAAACAAAATAGACACTGATAAATTTTAGGAAATGGTAAGAAATAAAATTACATTTCAGATATTTTGTATATTTTCATATCGCTTGAAATATACAACATGCAACTCTTTCAGGATGTGGATACATTCATATTATTTTTACATGCTATATAATTTTCATATTCATATTTTAGTAGCATCGAAGTTCACATACAGTTGACGTAAGAACATTTAGAGATGAGCCAGTAAAAATTTTGAAATTTCTACCCTTTTCCAAAATTGGCTAGACTGGAGATTATGGTCCAGTCGGCAAGTGAAGCGAAATGGTGCCAAATCTGCTAATCTCTTGGCTTAAATATGAATCAAAGCTTTCCGATCATTTATTGCTCATTTACTGCTTATTACAATTTCTTAAATTTCGTGATAAAATGCTTTACTCCATTTTGCTACTGTCTTAAAAATGGTATATGATATTATAAAAACTTTTAATATTGTTGATCCTATAAAATACATAGTTATTAACTTTCAAATACTGTGGTTAAAGTGCAGAATCTCCCGCTTATTTGTTTGGCGTTCGCGCTTTTTACAAGAGTAAGAACAATTGGATTTTTGTCAATTTTCGCTGACTTTTTAAGTGAAAATAGGTCGATATATACATGGATAATGTCAAGGGAGTGCCGCATTGCCATTTTTGTACAATTCTGGGATTTTTTTCAAGTGAAAATAGGTCGATGTGTACATGGATACTGAGTACGTGCAATTCTTAAAAATGTGCCAAGCAGCGGGTGATTCTGCACTTTCCGCCTTTTTCATTGTTTGACTTCAAGGTCCTGTTTTAGATATTTTTGCATGTTTACAGCTTGTTTTATATATATATATATATATATTAATATTACTCATACCTTTACTTTTCCTTAATCATATTTAAAAAGTGCTTAATGCATTTCAACAAAAGATTTGTTGTATTTCAACCAAAACAGAATTCCTCCTCAACAAAGAAAATCCAACATAAGGTTTTCCCTCAAAATGCACTAAATTTTTCTGTTTAAAATCAATGTTGAAACAAGAGTGAATTCTACTTTTTAAAATTCTTAAATATTTAATATACTACAGTCAAAAGACAATCCGGACTCGTCGGGACTTCGGCGATTCCGGATTATAGATCATCAGTTTAAATCTGGTAAGATGGCATGCAGAAATTACAAAATTAAAAATATAAAACCATAATTTATGAAATTAAGAACAATTATGATCTAAAAGGTATCAAAATTTACAAAAAGAAAAAGCTTAATATTTATTTGTTTACGTTATTAAACATTTCTTTCAATGTGAGTTGTTTCGTTTTATGTGATAATACTTTCTCTTTAATTCTATAAACAGACATACTTTCTTGTTCAGTTACAAAGTTCCGCTGTTCAAGACCTATAATTAATTGCTGTGTCGAGAATACCGACTAATTCGTCAACCGAAATTTTTTCCTTTTCAATAACCTCTGTGTCTCTTTCTTTACTATCGGAAGCGAATTATAATGATGAGGAACTTGTTTTAAATCATATCAAAGACGGAGTACATCGAGATGAAATACTACATTTAGTAAGGAATTATAAGCCAAATAAAATAAAAACATCTGCCCTGAAGATAAGGATAGTGCTGACAGATCAACTTCCAATTCATTGCGTGCCGCGGCGTTCTCCCCGCCGAGCAGCGTGAAATTGATAAACAGATTTCGGATTTTGAAACATACTTTCGCTTTAGATCCTTTACATATTAGCAAATATATATCGGAAATTCTATTTGATATAATCAAAAGTTCAAGCTTACTTTTATAAAATTGCTCTAACAGTCTGCAAAAAATAATAAGCCGGATCCAATTCGAAGATTAAGGAACAACGTAATCTGCAACATTAACTGAATTAGATAATTTTAGCTTAGCTTATACCGTCGTTATACATTAAACGCACATGCATAAACATTTTATGCGCATGCTCACATGCACATTCGCAGCTGTAAAGGTCTTACGCGCACACGTAAACGCCTATGCGCAGAAAGTTTGTAGCTTTGAGGTCCGGATTATGGATGTCCGAATTAACGACTTTTGACTATATAATACTATGCTTAGCTTCATTGAATTTTTGATACAACTGAAGTCTTTTTCAACTTGTTAAATGAAACTTTTATACTACTAAAGTAGGTCTATTTTAGCTAAATATTTTCTCCATAATCATTTTATGCATTGCATAGATTGCATTCTCACAATATACTAATGGATATATTATACTGCTAAATTTTACTTGATTTTTAAATTCTGCATACAAATTTAAGCAAGAAACTTTAAAATTAATTTTTGAAAATTCTATAAAATTTGGAATATTTTCATTAGTTTTTGACTGGATTTATTAAAACTTTTTCTAAGATTCAACACTAAAAAGTATATATTAATATGGCATTATGCATTAATAATTTCACCTGATTAATAGTCTGTGATAAAATATCACCAGGTGTATTCACCCAACTATTATCTCTTTTGAAAAGGAAAATTCCATCTTGACTCTTCAACTTATTCATGTCTGTCAATTTACCAATGGAAGATTCTCCATTTTGATCAATATCAGATATTTCTTTGCTTCTTGATGGAGGAGTGGAAGAACTTGATGATCCAGATGCTGCCATTATCCAGTCAATATCTGGACCCCAAGCAGATGCATTTCGATTCTGGGTTCCAGCAGATGATGGTAGTGTGATTGCATATGTAACAGCACCATCCTCATTACATCTGGGAAGTATACGGCGAGCTAAACGAGCTTGCACAGCAGCAAGCAAACCATCAGCATCACAATTTATCTCTACAGCATCAACTGCTGTGACTAAGGGCACAAGGCGAGTCGGTCCCATGGCTTGAGCAAGAGCTGCAAAACACTCCAATGCAGAAAGCCTTACACGTCTTTTAATATCAGCAAGAAGAGGTGCAACAGACTCACACAAAGGAAGAAATTCAAAGTTGTAACTAGGAAAAGTTAAAACAGCTGCAGTAACACGGTTTACAATTTCTTCTCTTAGACGTGGGTTACGACTGTCTTTGAACTGTAGAAGATTACCTAAAACCTCTGTAGGCCTAATATAATGCATCAATTTATGAATCACTCTTATAGCATGTTCACGAACAACTAGTTTTGAATCACCAAGTCTTTTCAAAACTGATGTCACAAATGTTTTTAGAAACCGCCTCATCTGATTCCTAAATTTATCAATCAGTAAATCATATATACTTAAAGTTTGAATTACAATTTTAAAATTTGAATCTTCTAAAAGTTTTGATAAAAATACCATATATTCATCCATATCTGATATTTTCTCACAAAAGTCTGGAGTTTCTCTAATAACAATTTTCATGTGCTCTATTGCTTCAATTCGAGTTTTCCAGTCATCATTTTTAATTTTTTCAGTAATATATGGTTGAAATATACCAAAATCATACTTTAGCAGCTTATTTCCAATGTTAGAAGTAAGACCATTAATGTGAGAGAAGCTAGATCGACTACCTGAACTGCTACTTAAATGAGAATCATTGATAGTAAACTTATTTAAAACTCTTCGATATGTATTTGCAGCTTCTTCATCCAGTTTCTGCAGATACTGGTCAAATATTGAAGCTCCAACAAGATCATTTATTTTTTGCATTGCTAAAAATATGGGATAGAACAAAGAAGCATCCCCATCAACAAAATGCTTTGACAGGCATTCTATAAGTGGAAATAAATTCTCATTTTCAAAATCAGCTGTGAAGAGAATTCCAATACTCATAATACATCCTTTTCGAACTATGTACTCAGCATTTTCTAGGCCATAATGAATAAACATTTTTTGAAAGTTCTGGAGGTTATTTGTGTGCTTCATGTAAACATGAAGTACTTGCAAAGCAGCACGTCGCACATTAACATTTTCATGCCCCAGATTTGCTATGATTTTATGCATCAAATGCATCATATAAGAATCAACTTCAGAAGTACTGCTTGGAATAACAGTTCCAATTAATAACAAACACTGATAACGTACTTCCCACCGAGAGTCATCTAATACGTGGTATAATACGTCAAATATAGAATCTGTGGACGAATCTTGAAATGGTAAATGGCCATTACCATTTTTTAACAGCTTTCTCATCACTATTAATATTTCTACTCGCTTCGCTGCATTGTAATCCAAAAGATTTTGAAACATAACGTTAGCATCCATACTTGAATTAATATCCAGTAGTCCACCCTGGACCGTATCCAGTGAAGATTGTCTCACCATTAGTTTATATGACAGCTTTAATAAATCTGACGTATAGATCAAACATTAAAAACATTTCCATAAAAATATAGGTAGACACTTAAGAGAGAGAAATAAATTCATATATTGCGAAGTTCGTAAATTAGCAGCTAAACTAGGACAAATTAGAAGTCTTTGATTTTTATATTTCTTCATTTCACAATATATTCGATCAAAAGAAATGTTTAAAATACTTTAAATGAAAAATTATTTAACTAGATCACAAAAACCATAAACAAATCATTCCCTTTAAAATTGAAAACGATGAAAATTGTGTAATCGATAAACCAACAATGAAAAAATATAATCCTACTATTTCTTGTCAAAGAAAACAACTTTAAGATGTATATCACGTAAATTATAGATTTGTATGCAAATTAAAGTTAAAATAATTATTTACAACTCATTTTAAAGGATTTTTCTGATATTTTAAGGACGCCTTGAGCACAATATTAGTTTACTAAAGAAGAGAAGTGAAATGCATAAGTTTCGTCAGCTTCCGTATCATAGTTACGGTAAATAGTGTAGTGATTTAACTTAATGAGTTGATTTAACTTGAAAAACAAAAATAAAAGTTTATTATGTGTTATTTAGAGGATGTTGCAGTTTTAGTCTGACTGTTCAATAGATCGGCATTACTTTTCAATATTTCATGATGTCGGACTCTGTTTCTGATAAAAACGTGGAAATACACGTTGAAAACGGAAATGAAATTCATAATGAACAATCTAAGAAATCCGGTGATGACTTTGTTGATCCCTGGAATGTTATTAGTAGTTCAGCTACTGGAGTTGATTATGATAAATTAATTAGTAAGTAAGAAATTACGACAAAATATTGTTACTTATATGACGAAGCAATTAAAAACATATCTTGCAATCAGAAAAATATCTTAACAATCCTTCTTTTTCAGGCCGCTTTGGAAGTTCAAAAATTGACGATAAATTACTTCAGGAGATTGAAAGGGTTACACAAAAACCCGTACATCATCTTTTGAGAAGGGGAATATTTTTCTCTCATAGGTGAGTGCCTTGTCACCATGACTGATACCTCTTTATTACTGGAATTCTGTTTTTAATTGACATGTGTACTTACGTAGTCCTTCACTCAGTGGGCTTATGATTTTCAATTCAGATTTATATGGAGCTCTTTAACCTAAACTTGAATTACATTAATTTAATATTGATTTGTATTAACATATCCAGAAATCAGATATTTTATGATACTTTTATTTATTTATTTATTTTTTTTTTTCAGTTTTCAAATCAGTTGTATAAAATTTTTATAACATTTGTAATTGTAATAATAATTGTAAAATTTTATATATTTATATTATATATTTATATAAGGAAAATTATTATATTAAGTCAGCATTCTACTTTATTTCTGCATTGTCAAGTCATGTGCTAATTTATCTTTCCTTAGCTACAATTTTATGAATAAAAATTTCAGTGTATCATATTAGGAGGTGAATAATAATATTGGATGGTGGCTTTACTAAGAATATAGTAAGCAGTATCAGCATTCTTTGTTTTATTGATAAGAACTGTGTGGTTGGCATCACCAGTACTTGCAGTGGCAATTATAATATATTGAATGGCGAATATCTAGTTAACTAGTTATTCTGCTCATTTGCTTTAATAATGACTGCCACTTGGCACTCATTTGGCTTTGATAATGACTGCCACTTGGCGGTGCACAGTGGCGGATTGGACAAAGAAATAGGCCCTGGCAAGATAAAATATGCCAGCCCTAAGGCTCCCCGTATGATGTGTCATTATACATATAGGTTATCACTGTCATCATCAGTATCATAAAAAATCATTTTATAAAAATATACCTTTGCAGAAAAGTAACACTTTATTCATGTGTATATATTGTTTATAGTTTATTTGTATACGTATAAATATACATATTTAAACAAATTTAAATTTAATTTTTAACAAACACGTATAAAAGTAAAAAAGCAAATTTAAATCCTAAAAAAAGGAAGTAAGAAGGATATAAAAAGAGTAGAAAATATCTTGTAAATTTATTGTAAATATTTTGTAAATATGTATATTTAATCAATACTGGATCTTTCCTTTACTAATAAAGGGCCAACTCTTCAAAAAGTCTCAATTATCCGAATTGAGTGAAGATTTAATCTTCTTTTACTTCCGTACTTTAGCCAGTATTTAGTAAGTTTTGAATACCAATTGAAATCAAGTTCATTAAACTTTTTATTTCCTTTCATTAATATAATTTTAATTAACTTCCGAAAGGAATTTTGAGAAATTTCTGTTCTTTTTTTTTTTTTTTTTTTTTTAACCCTTTGCGACATGGTGGGTCAATATATGTAAACCTAATGAATATTTATTTTCTCAGTAGCAATTTCCGTTAGAAATTTCTAATCTTTAAAAGTAATCTATTTTAGTTATTATATTTTCTCAGTAGATGTTACTATATACCAGGGCTTAACTAAGTTTATAAGCAAAAATATTCAAAATAGGATCACAAAGTGATATCCATGTATCTCGCATTTTCAATATTTTAAAAATTTTGGTATACAATTTATGATATGTATGATTCTTTTAATATTCAAAGGTTTTATTTTAAAAAATCTTAATTGGATCAATATTTTATAACATTAATTTTGCAGTTGAAATAAGTGGGTTAAATTTGTCCCCCACCACACACTTGAATTTCGCTCAATAGATGGCAGCACTCACGATTATTTTTCTTTCTTTTGCAATCTTTTTTTTTCGTGATTGCGCTCGCTTTACATCCGTTGTATGCTCTGATGTGCTAAAATGTCTAGACAAAACAATTAACAACTCAGAAGCTTTGGATCTTTGTCTGAATTGCCATCGATTGCAACTCAAATGCTTCAGATGTCAGTTCTGATTCAGATGAAATTGAAATCCAAGAAAGAATAACTGAGGTTGAAGTTATTGCTGAAGAAGAAAAGGAAGTAGTTATAATTTTTCGCTTTTTAAAGATAGACTCATCTATGCATGTGGCACTGTAAATATGGATCGGAAGTATCTACCCAAAATTTAAAAGACAAATTATTGTCAAGAGAATATATAGACTTTTCAGTTAGCGATGATTCAATTTATTGCATAAAATGAAGGATAAAGATCCGTTGTATCCTGTCTTGCTGGAAAAGGCAACTGAAATGAAAGAAATTAATAGAAAAGAACTAATGGAAAGACAAACAAAAAAAAAAAAAAAAAAGTACTGTGCCCAAACAGCATTATGTCATATATTAAGAATATGGGATATGTCGACTGATTGATCAACTGAAAGGACTATATGAAATAGACCGCAAAAGCAAGAAAAGAAATGGTGGCACATGATTTTTTTTTTATTTTATTTAGATGCGAGTATAGTAAACGCATTTATTCTATTTAAGTTTGTTCGCGAACCTGATCATGATGTAAAAACAATGAAAGATTTTCTTCTCTCAGTTATAAAAGGTCTAATGGCAATTGCAGGCAAGAAACAGCTGAAAGAAAACTGAAATCCCCAGTTCAAATAAAAACTAAAAACTCTTTCGTACAACCAGAAAAGAGACTAAAAAATGTAAGTAAAACGCCAAAGAGAACGAGCAGGAGAAGATGTGCATATTGCAGCATATCGAAAGAAGAATGACGAAATTTTGGGTGTGTGAAACATGTGAAGTGCCTCTATGCTTACAAAAGAATGAAAAACATGTTTTTCAAAGTTTCATGAAAATGACTTTTTTCATTTTAATCATATATAAATGTTTTGAATCAAGTGCCAATTTAATATTTTATTTAGTATCATAGTACGAGTATCAAATTTTAATCTTAAAATAATATTCAAGAAAATATTTTCTTTGTTCCTAAAATTTAAAAATATAAATATATGTATGCAAAAATGTGCATATGCAAAATTTTACAAGTCATGCATATAGCAATAAGTACAAAATGCATTTTAGTGTGTTTATTATGAATATTTTAGAATGCACGCTTTATTTTGTTTCTTCATTCCACATAGGAATTTTTTTTTCCCTGCTATACACCAATATCGTAAGACATGTGCTATTGCATGGTGGACAAACGGTATCCCACCTTCCACCGTAAAAAATAAAAGCGCAGAATTTTCAAGCCTTAAAGGCACTTAAGTAAGTCCATCTGACTTATTCTAAGGCTTTTTTTAAAGATTAAAATATATTTTAAATATGCGTGTCGCAAAGGGTTAAGGGACTTCATTCTAAAAAATTTTGGGAAATTTTACTTTAAAACTTTAATTTTAACACATTTCAGTTTTTCTTAATACTTTAATAATTTGAAATTTTCACAAAAACTTTTTCACTTAACGTTTTTTACAATTTTTACACAATTTTTCAACAGAACACACATTTCACATTTCAAACAGTTTACATTTTTTATCACAATCCCACTTAACTTATTTTCCTTCAAGCAAACTTATATCCATTGATTGGCTCAGTTACTTAACTCCCTAAATAATTGATAATACACCTTTAGGATTTTTTTAATTTTAATATTAATGTTTACAAAAATTTTTTACTATAATAAAGATAGCAGCTTGACACTCAACTTTAACTACATAAGCGCCATCTATATAATTTGAAAACACACTTACTTTCTTTAACAACACTTTTGCAGACCCAACACTCATATAGTAGGTAAGTTAGAATTAAAAACTTCTTTACTTGCTTTAAGTATTTTTAAAATTCTTTATGTAGTATTTTAAGTATTTTCTAAATATGAAATTATATTTTAAATATTATATATGTTTTTAAAAAATTGTGAATTAGTTCTTTTGTTTCTATTGGTTTATATGGATTATGTCTAGTTCTTTTTTAGTTTTTATATTGATATGCTTCGTGTAGGGGGTTTTCTGTAGACAAGGGTTTCTAAAATACATGGTTTTTTCTTATATTTTTAAGAAATTAATTTTTTAAAAAGTTTAATTCTTGACTTTACTTGTTTCTCAAAAGACTTCATTAGTATTTTCTTTTTAGAACTTTAATTCTTAATTGTTAATTCTTAATGTTAATTTCTAAGGGACCACTTTATTGGTATACTTTTGGTTTGACCTTTTCCCTTGCCTGCATGAATGACGAAACACAAATTGAATGATGGCGAGTTTGGTTTGGAGGCAACTTCCCCTTGATAAGTCTGTCTCCTGCCTACTCAACGGTTATTCACTTATGCATTTTTTTAAAAAATTGTTAATTTAATTTTAATTTACTAAATTAGTGAATTTATTTTCATGGATTGATTTTGCACTTGATTTGCTTATGCTTCTGAATTTAAAATAATATTATAGATTAGTTCGAGAATTAAATCTTTTATATGTTTGCACATTTTTTAAAAATTATTTGGCTTTTTTCCTTTTTTAGGATTAAATTTGCGTTTTTACTTTATACGTGTTTGTTAAAATTAAATTTAAATTGTTTAAATTTAATTTCATTCTTGCAGCAATGGCACAAAGAATATTTAATTAATTGTATTTAAATTTAATTTTTTTAATTAAATTCAATTATTCTTATAAAATATATATACAAATAAACTGCAAACAGTAAATAACAGTGACTAAATAATTATATAAATAAAACAGCTGTTGATTCATAATTAGCCATTTAAATATTTTTTAATGCCAAGCACCTGGTCAAATATTTCCTCTGTTATATATTCAGTTTTTGCTTTAGCCAAAATATTCTTTTCTATGTTCATCAATAGCAATGACTCCACATTAGCTTGCTTCATAATACTCCTTAATCTACTTTTTACTTTTTTTAATTTTGAAAAGCTCTTTCGCATTCAATTCAATAAGACACAATTTTTGCAAATATGCATTTAGCTTTGAATGAATGCTCATTAATGGATTGAGCCCTCTCTTCTGACTTGGTATCTGATTGAAAATAATAATTTTGAATATTTCCCATTTACTTCCTAGATCTTGCTATTCATCCTTAAAATTATCAGTTGTTACACCTGCATAGTGCCCTAATAATATAATTAAACAGTCAAAAGAGTTCAGCATA